TGGAGGAGATCTTGGGTGGTGGCTAGGGTTATTTGCTATCATTGGCAAACATCAAGCTATGTCCTTCATCCATCCCTAGTTTTGGTGCTGCAGTGCACAATTCATCTCTTTGGAAGCTATTGTCGGTTCAAACAATCTCCCTAGAAAAAGGATGTGATCAGGCAACATCTTCACTTGCCCCACAAAAAGTAGGGTTCTTTTTCTTTTTGTTAGTTGTGCTTTTTTTTAAACCAAAATCGAAAACAATCTTGCTAAATCTCAGTCGACTGAGACTTTTGTCTCAATCGATGCTATATACGTGAGATTTTACATTGAGATCCATGCAAAATAAAATCTTTGAATTTTTCTGTTTTTTTCTTACCCCCTCCGTTCCTAAATATAAGTCTTTCTAGAGATTCCAATAAGGATTACATAGGATGTATATAGACATATTTTAGAGTGTACATTCATTTATTTTGCTTCGTATGTAGTCCCTTCTAGAATCTCTACAAAGACTTATATTTAGAAACGGGAAGAGTACATGTTATGTCACTTGACTAAAACTTGATTAAGTTGTCAACTGAGACCTAGCCACACCCAATCAAAAATAATGAATGAATATGTGAAGGACCGTGTTTTCTCCTCTATGTGCGTTATAAGTTGTCTTTCTGTCTCATGTACTCCACGTGAACAAATAAGTTTCTTCATTCATGACTAGTAGCCAAAAAATAGAAGTAAGATCATCTGCTATTTTTCTGTAACATCATACGTACTCCTTTATGGAGTATTTTAGAATTTTTGTTGGGTCTTGGGTGCACGCACGCATGATGCTCTCCTTCAAGGGGAGTTTTGGGTTGGTGCATGATGCTAACTTGCTTAGTAGAGCAAGCTCATTGACTAATCAGTTGATACACGATTAGGTACTAATATTAGCCATGAGGGCATGAGGCCGACACTTTTGCTTTGTCATGAGATTCAAACAGGGTGGGCCAGCTGGGGAGCCAGTTCCGTTCTGTTGACCGGCCGCATCCTTTGGATTGCTCTCGAGTATCTTTATACTCCTCTCCGGCAAATACTCTACTACTTTTCTCCCTCGTTTTGGCATGCAGCGTCTGGTTGTCTGCAACTTCGCATTTAGACCTAGCCATCTGTTCTCTGCAGAAACGTCCAGAAGTTGCCTTTGAAAGGTCCAGGTGATCGATACGCAAGCAAAGGAAATCGGGCATGTCTCTTTCAGCCCAAGGATTCTCCTTCTCCTTGGACTTGGAGAATAACATTTGTTCTTAAACTTGGCGGGTCTACTCACTTTGGCCTCCAAAGTCCAAACGCAGCATAAACTTCAAGAAATATTAGCACGCAATCTAACTGACTCGCTGGTGATCGATCTATGTAAGGCTCAAACATACTTCATGATTCAACAGAGTGAAGAGTAGTTGTGATAAAATTGTTCACTGAGTTTCGATTCTCCGGTTTGCATGCCGGAGTTCGTCCTTGAAGACTCACTGAAGTTCTCTCTTCCCCGTTCCCTGTAATTGATGATGTTGGCTTCGTGGGAACTGATTTTGTAACCATGAACAAAATATACAAAAGAAATTTAGAGACTACACCAAGTCAAACCAAGCACTCTGGAAGTCAACAAAGGAAGTATAAGAAAAACAAGTAGTGTTACACACACATACTCTCTCAAGAGGGGTCAAGAACAATGACCGAGTCATGTTTCCCAGAATGTTTCCAGGCAGCAGCCAAGATGCCCGCCCTCTTTTGTCTTGTGCCATCCAGCTCGGTAAAATCCAGTATGTTAGGTAACCTGATCCACATACAGATCAGGGGTGCACTGCATACTAGCCTACTAGGTCAAATTTCATTCTCCTTATCATAGCCTAATGACCGAGAAGCAAATGACTGAACCATTTATATTCTATATACACCACTGATTCGTCAGATATTCCTAACTAGTGATGTAAATCTGTTTAGAACACATCTAGATGTGACATAACTATGTCACATCTAAGCTGATGTCCACTCTGTTTGTGGACTATTTTTTTGTCCTAGTTTATTTTTGTTTCTTGTTGCTGCATTATATGTTTGTGGGAGCTAGATGTGACATCCTTAAAAAACTTCTAGATGTGAATTAGACAAACTGATCTGTGTTTAATTGCGTGCACATATGACTATCTGAGCGATTCACAATGAAAATTACCTGAAGAGTGAAGCTTGGACAGTAATTGCATACGCAGGTGTAAACGAGTCAAACGGACAGAAGCGTGCAATAGGCAAATTATAAATAGCCATTTGTAGAGAGGATCAGTTGTCGCCCTCACTTCATGAAATGCTGATGAATGGTAATATGCCGGCATGTTCACATTCTGCAGCCTGGAAGTCTCCAAATCCATTCACACCCTGGAAGAAAATAATGCGTTGACTTCAGTTCAGAGAATCAGAACAGCAAGCAATTGCTACATCAGAAGCAATCCCGTATCAGTTAAAATAGTACAGGTTTCCGTTCCTCATGCAGTTCCAACTTGCACTTGACACAATTATGTGACCATGGATGCATAATTGAGTTGCAACTTGCGCAAGCAGAACTTATAAAACTCACTATTCATGTGCACCAATCAGTCGGCATGCAGTGTGCCAACCAGGTTATAATATCAGCAAGATTACAGGACAAGTTAGCTCCTATTAATGCAATCTTTTCGTCAAAAGTGACAACGGAAGTAAACATTTTGAAAAGCGAAGGCAAAGGATAAGTCTTCCTCTTTTGACCTTTTCCCAACTTCACAGCTGGGAAACATTCACATGTGATTATCTCCCTCTGATAAAGAATATTACAGCGTCTGACCCGCTTGTCAGGGTCTGAATATGATAGTCCAAAGATCCATTTTTGGGGGAAGTAGATTTATCACAATTAAGGATAATGACCAATGAGGCTATGACATGCAGATTTCTGGTCATAAACCTTGATTTGAATTATTGCTCATTCAACAGGGCATGTGCAATGAAAATATAACCAGTTACTCCTTCCGATAATAAAATTCCTTGCAATCATATACTTACTACAAGATATTTTGGTTGCATCCAGAACTAAAAGAATTTATAGTGTATTAGGAAGGAAGTTGTATAATTAATATTGGTGGAAAGGAAGTATTTGACTCGTTACTTTTACTCCCTCCATTTCTAAATATAAGGCTTTTTAGATATTTTAATATGGACTACATACGGATGTATAGACATATTTTAGAGTATAGATTCACTCATTTTGCTCCATATGTAGTCCATATTGAAATCTCTAAAAGGGCTTATATTTAGGAACAGAGAGAGTACTATTTTTGCAAAGAACCAGTCAAGTAGCAGTGCAATTGAAGTTTATGACTAATAGGAACTCTGCTGAGAAGAAAGAGCATACCTTTCATGTCTAAGAGATCAGAAATGAACAATCAGATGACAGAAGACTTGTTCCAACGGTCCTTTAAGTCTGACTGTCCGACCATTTCACGTGAGGACTATCTGGTCATGCATGCTGCGTACACAAATATTTTTACAAGCAACAAACGGAAGCCAGAAGAACATTGCCATCAACCCAATAGTACTACTGCTACCAGGTCTCCCTTTTCCAGAAATTACTTCTGTATACACGGAACTTTCCTGTATATAAGGAAAGGAGCATATGGATGCAACTTTTATGTCCCATCCGTGGATGTCAGCGAAAAAGCATAAGCAACAGTAGATCAGTAAACAATCAGACACACAATTATTGATTTGCATCATCTTCTTACCGGTTTAAACTTGATCATCTGATTCTGCATTGACTTCTGCAATCTTCCAACTTGTGCAAGTTAGAATAATATGGGGCTTCAGTATTAGTCCACTATTATGAAGTCTTTATTTAACACACATGGCAACTGTAGCAGTTCCCATTCTGACGGACGTTTTGTTAGAACGTGAAACGTCATAGGCATGTGATACTGGATTCAGGTCGGTAGTTCAGTTCTCTGTACCCCTTGAAATAACGTTGATTCAAACACTAAAATGTTCCTAACTGAAGTAAAATCACTATGTTAGTACGTTACTTATGGTATCCTTGCAGGACTAAAAACAGTTTGAGAGCACACCAAAGAAGGAAACCCAGTCCTGGCACTAGACACCAGTAGAACTATGCTACCTCCTGTAAAACACATCATGCAGATAACTGAAGTTCTGCAAGACTGGAAAAAAAGCACACTCCGATCCTTCAGGTTATCAACCAGCTGAAGGCCGAGGTTAGCTTCTGGTTTAGCTGTTGCTGTGGTGTTACTTGGTTATGTTGCTGGTTGGCGCTGTTGCCGTGTAATTGGGTCACTTCGGATGGCTTGTCTTGGTCATCTGTAATTCTTCTTCTTCTAATGAAATCACATGCAGTTCCCCTGCATGGTTCGAAAAAAGACCAGCATGTTGTGAAGAGCTAACCAGAAAATAATGTATTTCTAGCAGATGAGGCTTCATGTGAGAAACTATTAAAGTATTATCAATCTCTAACAACTTAAAGTTTCTACTGTAACTGATTGTTGCAGGGTACTCATTGATGGATTACCTGGATGCTGAAACTGAGGGCAAGGATATGCACCCAACCAAACACGATCTGTGGACACAACCTGCGAAAGCATAAAGTTCCCTGGAACAAATAACCGTAGACTTTTATACAACATAGTTTCAGCTCCTAAGTAAAGTGGCATTCTTAGATAAACTAAAAACATATAATAGTACAGCATGCTGAAAGAAACTAATAACATTTCGAATTGTGTTGGAGAAGAACATTTGTAACCTTTTATAACTCTTTTTACAAATCAATGTAAAAAAGCTTATGTTAGGGTCGAAGTTTGTAGGAATAAGACAGGGAGACACACATGATACATCTCCTGTTAAGAGAAAGAAACTATACAGAATCAAAGGAATGAAGGACTTCCTCCAAAACAAGTCTAGTCTGCTTGCCCAAGGGCTTCTCCTCAGTATCAGAGTAGGCTACATTGAGCAGATAGAGCTTTCTAGAAGCAACAAACGCTGCCGAGAAGATCCGCTTCATCCCTCCCCTGGTGCTATCCAATGAGTACTCGATTTCGTATACTGTCAGGCCATCGCGACCTGATCTCTCTCCGGTAGAAATCACCTCTGCGGATTTGGTACTTTCCTGAATCAATGGAAAGGTTTCAAACCAACTGCCAATATAGCACTGAACTTTTCCAAAATGTGGGCACTTAACCTTTATCACCATTCATTATAAGCAACAACAGAAAGAGCTCAGTTTTCACCTTTAATATAAACTATTTGTGTTGACACATTAGATGCAATTGCCATAAACACATAGAGATAAGGTGGAGAAATGTTATGAACCAGGAACATCCTATGTGAGTTCATCTAAGTTGCCCGCGTAAAGTAGGATGTCTACACATGGTAAAATTAATAAATGTAGCAAATATAACATGGTGCTGGCAAATTGCAATGCCCACGGGAGTGTTGTGGCATTTACCTTTTTCTTCTCTGCCTGTAGAAGCCTGTCCGCGACGAACTGCGGTGTGCCGAAATCCGTCAGCGAGGAGAGGCGAACAGGGTTGACGACGACCCCAATGTTGTTACTCCCCTTCCCCTCTTGCTGAAACAGCGCCGTCGCGCCCGCCTTTTCCACCTTCCCCAATTACACAACGGCACCACAGAGTTCAGAGCTCCAATCCACAAACCTAAACGCGTCGAAACGCACAAAGCATCCTACAGAGCTTCGTACCTTGGGCCATGAGGCGGGCTTGAGGAGGGTGAACCCCTGGTCCTGGTCCGTGTACCGCTCCAACTCCAGCGCCGGTGCGCCTCCTTCTCCTCCCCCGACTTCTGCCTCCGTTTCCGATGCGGAGGCCACGGGGAGTTGCGGTGACGAGGCGGGGAAAGGGAGGGCGGTGAGGAGCAGGGAGGCGGCGGAAACAGCTCTCCTGGTTAGGCGCGGAGGAGGGGAGGAGATGTCGCATTTGGGCGCAATGGCGCGGGGCGGAGGCCGGCGCTGGGCGCGGCCGGCGAGCTTCAGCGGCGGGCCGTGGCGAGGGCTACCGACGAGTGGCATCGATGGAAGTCGATTTGTACACAGAGAAGCTTTCGCTCGCGGCTACGGCCGCCTCTGCCGCTCAGTTTGTTATCGCCATTCGACGCTGGCTGTGGGCCCGCCGATGGAGGAAACTGCGTGTGTACAATTACAACTTCTGTCTCTCTTTTTTTTTGCGTGCGATTTACATCTTTTGTCAATAACCAAACTTGAAATTGTACATACGCAGTACCAGTCTTGATTTCACGTTATAAAAAAGGTTTTCATGATTTCACAATTGGTATTTCCACCTAAACCTGATCGGGCTTGGACGGGTTCGGGTCGTGCTTGACAAAGCCCGAAGTCAAAATCCCAAGCCTGAGCCTGGCCAGCCCCGGCCCAAACCACATGAACAGTGTTGTCTAAAATTTAAATTAATCATATTCAAGGTATTAAATCAATATATTAGACCTATATTTCAAATAAAATATCTATTTGTGATCATTTCGGACTTATTTCGGGCCTTCGAGCCGGGCCTTGGGCGAGAAAGTGGAGCCCAAGCCCAGCCCGGATGCCGGGCTTTTGGGCTCGAGCCTTCGGGCCGGGCCTTCTATGCACTGGTCTATTTGCACCTCAACCTCTTAGAAATTGCCTCACCAACCCAACTCTAGCTTGCTCATCATCTATTGTAATAGCACCCCCTCAAAAAAAAATTATTGTAATAGCATCTTATATTATGGGACAGAGTGAGTAGTGTTTTACGAAGTCAGGCTTGTTTTAGCCACTTAGCAATAACCTTCAACCCAGCTTTCTCAAATCTTAACATTCTAGATTTATTTGGCATCCCTTCTCCACTATCCAACACACGAGGGCATTAGTCAGATCCAACTCTAGTAAGAACTGTAAGTGTAGCCATAGGAAATCTAATTTCCCAGCTATCAGAGACTCACACCCTATCCAACCCAATACCCATTCGCTCGTAGGACTCAAGGCCCTTAGATAGGGTTTTCCCTGCCTCTTGCCGTCGGCGCCGTCAGTCCGCCTCGTCTCCTATGGAGACGTGGTGGATCCCGACCCGTGCCGACGAGATGGTTGAATATGGAATAAGGTCCTCCCCGCCTACTCCCGTCCTGACGGTTCTTCTAGAATCGTCGAAGGGCGTGTAGAGGTGTGTCTCCTACGGATCTCGTAGGATTCGTTCGACGTTTGTCTTTTGTGCATCTGCTTGGATCTGGTCTTCGGTTGTCTACGTATGACTAAAGTAGATCTGTCGGCCATAGTTTTCATTAGAGGCTTCTCTCTCGAAACAATAGCATACGTGAAGGAAATATGCCCTAGAGGCAATAATAAAGTTATTATTTATTTCCTTATATCATGATAAATGTTTATTATTCATGCTAGAATTGTATTAACCGGAAACATGATACTTGTGTGAATACATAGACAAACAGAGTGTCACTAGTATGCCTCTACTTGACTAGCTCGTTGATCAAAGATGGTTATGTTTCCTAGCCATAGACAAAGAGTTACCATTTGATTAACGGGATCACATCATTAAGAGAATGATGTGATTGACTTGACCCATTCCGTTAGCTTAGCACTTGATCGTTTAGTTTGTTGCTATTGCTTTCTTCATGACTTATACATGTTCCTATGACTATGAGATTATGCAACTTCCGTTTACCGGAGGAACACTTTGTGTGCTACCAAACGTCACCACGTAACTGGGTGATTATAAAGGTACTCTACAGGTGTCTCCGAAGGTACTTGTTGGGTTGGCGTATTTCGAGATTAGGATTTGTCATTCCGGTTGTCGGAGAGGTATCTCTAGGCCCACTCGGTAATACACATCACTTAAGCCTTGCAAGCATTGCAACTAATGAGTTAGTTACGGGATGATGTACTACGGAACGAGTAAAGAGACTTGCCGGTAACGAGATTGAACTAGGTATTGAGATACTGACGATCGAATCTCGGGCAAGTAACATACCAATGACAAAGGGAACTACGTATGTTGTTATGCAGTTTGACCAATAAAGATCTTCGTAGAATATGTAGGAGCCAATATGAGCATCCAGGTTCCGCTATTGGTTATTGACCGGAGACGTGTCTCAGTCATGTCTACATAGTTCTCGAACCCGTAGGGTCCGCACGCTTAAAGTTCGATGACGGTTATATTATGAGTTTATGTGTTTTGATGTACCGAAGGTAGTTCGGAGTCCCGGATGAGATCGGGGACATGACGAGGAGTCTCGAAATGGTCGAGACGTAAAGACCGATATATTGGATGACTATATTCGGACATCGAAAAGGTTCCAAGTGATTCGGGTATTTTTCGGAGTACCGGAGAGTTACGGGAATTCGCCTGGGAGTAGATGGGCCCTATTGGGCTTTAGGGGAAAGAGAGAGGAGAGACTGCGGGCCCCCCAAGGCCAAGTACGAATTGGACTAGGGGGAGGGGCGGCGCCCCCTCCTTCCTTCTCTTCTCTTTTTCCTTTCCTTGTCCCCTACTCCTACTACTTGGAAAGGGGAGGAATCCTACTCCCGGTGGGAGTAGGACTCCTCCAGGGCGCGCCATAGGGTCCGGCCCTCTCCTCCTCCTCCACTCCTTTATATACGGGGAGGGAGGCACCCCTTGGAGACACAACAATTGATCATTGATCTCTTAGCCATGTGCGGTGCCCCCCTCCACCATAATCCACCTCGATCATATCGTAGCGGTGCTTAGGCAAAGCCCTGCGTCGGTAGCATCATCATCACCGTCACCACGCCGTTGTGCTGACGAAACTCTCCTGTAAATCTTTGCTGGATCGAAGCTCGCAGGACATCATCGAGTTGAACGTGTGCAGAACTCGGAGGTGCCGTGCGTTCGGTACTTGGATCGGTCGGATCGTGAAGACGTACGACTACATCAATCGCGTTATGCTAACGCTTCCGCTTTCGGTCTACGAGGGTATGTGGACACACTCTCTCCTCTCGTTGCTATGCATCACCATGATCTTGCGTGTGCGTAGGATTTTTTTTAAATTACTATGTTCCCCAACAGTGGCATCAGAGCCAGGTTTTATGCGTAGATGTTATATGCACGAGTAGAACACAAGTGAGTTGTGGGCGATATAAGTCATACTGCTTACCAGCATGTCATACTTTGGTTCGGCGGTATTGTTGGATGAAGCGGCCCAGACCGACATTACGCGTACGCTTACGCGAGACTGGTTCTACCGACGTGCTTTGCACAAAGGTGGCTGGCGGGTGTCAGTTTCTCCAACTTTAGTTGAACCGAGTGTGGCTACGCCCGGTCCTTGCGAAGGTTAAAATAGCACTAACTTGACGAACTATCATTGTGGTTTTGATGCGTAGGTAAGAACGGTTCTTGCTCAGCCCGTAGCAGCCACGTAAAACTTGCAACAACAAAGTAGAGGGCGTCTAACTTGTTTTTGCAGGGCATGTTGTGATGTGATATGGTCAAGACGTGATGAGATATAAGTTATTGTATAAGATGATCATGTTTTGTTGAAGTTATTAGCAATTGGCAGAAGCCTTATGGTTGTCTCTTTATTGCATAAGATGCAAGTGCCAAATAATTGCTTTACTTTATCGCTATGCGATAGCAATAGTTGCAAGAGCAATAGTTGGCGAGACGACCATGTTACGACACATTTATATAGATCAAGATGATGGAGATCATGGTGTCATGTCGGTGACGATGGAGATCATGACGATGCTTTGGAGATAGAGATCAAAGGCACAAGATGATGATGACCATATCATGTCACATATTTTGATTGCATGTGATGTTTATCTTTTATACGTCTTACTTTGCTTAGTTATGACGGTAGCATTATAAGATGATCTCTCACTAAATTTCAAGATAAAAGTGTTCTCCCTGAGTATGCACCGTTGCCAAAGTTCATCGTGCCCAGACACCACGTGATGATCGGGTGTGATAAGCTCTACGTCCATCTACAATGGGTGCAAGCCAGTTTTGCACACGCAGAAATACTCGGGTTAAACTTGACGAGCCTAGCATATGCAGATATGGCCTCGGAACACTAAGACCGAAAGGTCGAGCGTGAATCATATAGTAGATATGATCAACATAGTGATGTTCACCATTGAAAACTACTCCATTTCACGTGATGGTCGGTTATGGTTTAGTTGATTTGGATCACGTGATCACTTAGATGATTAGAGGGATGTCTATCTAAGTGGGAGTTCTTAAGTAATATGATTAATTGAACCTTAATTTATCATGAACTTAGTCCTGGTAGTATTAGCATATCTATGCTGTAGATCAATAGCTCGCGTTTAGCTCCCCTGTTTTATTTTTGATATGTTCCTAGAGAAAACTAAGTTGAAAGATGTTAGTAGCAATGATGCGGATTGGATCCGTGATCTGAGGTTTATCCTCATTGCTACACAGAAGAATTATGTCCTTGATGCACCGCTAGGTGACAAACCTATTACAGGAGCAGATGCAGATGTTATGAACGTTTGGCTAGCTCAATATGATGACTACTTGATAGTTCAGTGCACCATTCTTAAACGGCTTAGAATCGGGACTTCAAAGACATTTTGAATGTCATGGACCATATGAGATGTTCCAGGAGTTGAAGTTAATATTTCAAGAAAATACCCGAGTTGAGAGATATGAAGTCTCCAACAAGTTCTATAGCTAAAAGATGGAGGAGAATAGCTCAAGCAGTGAGCATGTGCTCAGATTGTCTGGGTACTACAATCGCTTGAATCAAGTGGGAGTTAATCTTCCAGATAAAATAGTGATTGACAGAATTCTCTAGTCACAATCACCAAGTTAGTAGAACTTCGTGATGAACTATAGTATGCAAGGGATGACGAAAACGATTCCCGAACTTTTCATTATGATGAAATGATGAAGGTAGAAATCAAGAAAGAGCATCAAGTGTTGATGATTAACAAGACCACTAGTTTCAAGAAAAGGGCAACAGGAAAGAAAGGGAACTTGAAGAAGAAACAGCAAGCAAGTTGCTGCTCAAGTGAAGAAGCCCAAGTCTGGACCTAAG